TGCAGAAACTATAATGATTTATGACAATCCTTGACAGTTCTGAGAATCACTAGTTCATGGAGAATATTTCTTTTTTGCTTATAGACATGAATATAAGAAGGAGAAAGAGACAGTGCATCTTAAATTTGATCCTGTTCTTACTTCATCAGATAAATAGATCTTCACTAGTTTAAGATTTTAAAAATAACTGCAATCATCATAGTTTGTAGTGAAGCAATAAAATTCTCATTGGGTCTTTTCTGATGCTTTAAATTACTGCTAGAAGAGGTACTAGTGGCCATTTTGCATTACATGATATCAATGGAATGCAATTGAACTTTGCAATTATTAATCAAAGGTCAACTGTGTCATACCTCCCTGGTCTGGACCAGCCAGACATTTTTTGTTGTTGCTAGGGCGGGGCTCGCCCCAATTCTTGTATGGTCCAGCAATTGCAAGCTTATTATGAAGTTGCTTAGTATCTTTGCTCTCTTTGTCTCTTTGATATATGCTGTTCAGGGCCAACCATGTAAGCAGTAAATGTATCTAGGGGAGCCATCCAGGGGGCAATTAATTTTTTGATCTAAACTTGCTAAATTTTACATTGGCACCATTTGCCATTGAGTTGAAACAAAATTTTTTAGATCTAGTCGTGTTTTTTTGCAATTTTTATCTCATATTAATTTATCATAACATTTTTATAATCACTGATAGATCGTGGAACTGTTCGACTTGTTAGAAGTGGAAGTTTCTCATCATCTTATACAGCTGGAATAGTTCAGATTTATTACGGTTCAAATTCTTCCAGCAACAGTTGGGGCAATATTTGTTTTGATAGTTCATTTGGTAGCACTGAAGCTAATGTCATTTGTAACCAGTTGGGGTATAATGGAGCATCAACCTATGGTAGTGCTGGTAGCACAACAAGGTAATGCAAGTGATCTTAAATTACAATACAGCAATAGATGTATGATGTGTAGCACTAGGTTTAGGGTTTAGGGTTTAGGTAAGTGTTAGGGTAGAAGTATGGATAGCAGCTTTTGCAATCACAATGCCTGCACATGTACTCACATGGTACAAACAATGATTGACAGCTACTTCTTTCTCACTTATATTATGTAAATAATGATGAAGCACTTTTGCAAAAGAGCACAACATTTTTAAACATTTTGATTGATTATCATTCATTTTGTAGCTATGGAACTGATACTGCAGCTACAGCCCTTAATGATGTGAACTGTGCCAATAGTAACTATTTGACACTCCAGCAATGTAACCTTTCAACAGTTATCAAACCTTCTTGTATCAGTGACAACGAAGATCTTTATGTATCATGCCGTAAGTATAATCATCAGGCAATAATAAAACTCAATCAAACTTCTCTTCACAGAAACTACTAGAATCTGGGACAGTCCAGATTTTTCTGGACAGATTCGTCTACAAGGAGGTACTTATTCAAGTTATGGTAGACTGGAAGTATATTGTAATGGAGAGTGGGGTACAGTATGTGCAGATAGCTTTGGTCCAACTGGTGCTAGAACTGCCTGCCGTCAGTTAGGATACAGTGATTACAGCACATATAATACAAATGTGTTAGTAAAGCTTATCAATAATCAATGCTGATAGCTTCTCATTTACTTGTGTTGATTATATTTCTTCTTCATATAGCCCTGGGTCTAGCTCTCAACATACTTGGTTCGAAAATCTCGCTTGTAACAGCAGTTCAAATTGTCTTGGTACTTGTGAATCTTGTCCTACTACACAAATAAGTTTCTGTGGCACTGGTAGTAGAGATGTGGCTTTAGGATGTGGTGTGTTATAAGTTATAAAATAAAGCGTCAACTTTGATACTTTTTTTATACAGAATTTGATAGTTCATATGCTACATCCAACAATACACCAAGCACCTGTGAATATGCTGGCTCTCGAAGACCAGGCAAGCATCAATAAATATTATACATACTAATACTATGATTAATTTTTAGTTAGATGTATATGCATGAGATTTTAAGCAAATGCATGCCATTGAGCACATGTGTGCAAATGAAATCAGATTTTATATTAAAAGTATTTGGACAATATTTATTAAAATTTAATTTATAATTGTAGATCGTGGAACTGTTCGACTATTTAGAAACGGAGTTTTCTCATCATCTTATTCAGCTGGAATAGTTGAGATTTATTATGCTGGAAGTTCTTACCGTAGCTATTGGGGTAACATTTGTGATGATAGTTCATTTGGTTATAGTGAAGCTAATGTCATTTGTCATCAGTTGGGGTATAATGGAGTATCAACCTATGGTAGAGCTGGTAGCACAACAAGGTAATGTGACCTTAAATTATAAAACATTAATGCATGTGTGTGTGTACATACACTGGTCTATTGGAATTTAACAGTACTATGTAATAGTAGGTGTTAGGGCACAGTTTTTCTCCTTTCTCACCTATTGTCAATGACATAAATGCTATATTTATCATTATTTTTAATTGATTGCACCTCATTGTTGGGATTACAGCTATTTGAAGCCACTTGTATTTATTAGTATAATAACCTGCAGTTTTACTAGTATAGAGTTAGTAAACTATTCTACTAGTATAAATGATATTGAAGAATCTGCTGTTATAATGATTTACAACTCATGAGCATGTACACTGCACTGGCATCAATAATGGACATGTAGTACATGTTTCTGGAGGATTGTACTTGTGCATTATTCTGATCAAGAGTGCATTTCAACATTTCTTGCCTATAACTATTTTTGTAAACAATAACTCTGTAAATATTTTATTAATTTTAGCTATGGGACTGATACTGCAGCTACAGCCCTTAATGATGTGAGCTGTTCCAATAGTAACTATTTGACACTCCAGCAATGCAGCCTTTCAACAGTTATTAAATCCTCTTGTACCAGCGACAGTGAAGATGTTTATGTATCATGCTGTAAGTATAATCAATACCATGCAAGCAATAACAATATTCAATCCAAATCCTATATACAGATACTACTAGAATCTGGAATAATCCTTATGCTGGACAGATTCGTTTACAAGGAGGTAATTATTCAAGTTATGGTAGACTGGAAGTATATTGTAATGGACAGTGGGGTACAGTTTGTGATGATGACTTTTATGATATTGATGCTCAAGTTGCCTGCCAACAGTTAGGATACAGTGATTACAGCACATATGCCCCTGAAAGATTACTGTTAGTAAAATTCATGCATGTATATAGTTTCATATTATCACTTGTGTCATGTACTTCTTCTTCATAGTGTTGGACCTAGCTCTCAACCTATTTGGTTTGAAAGAGTTTATTGTGTCAGCCTGGATGTAATAAATTGCCTTGCTTCATGCCACGTGTGCCCCTCTTCAACATCTAGTTCTAGTTGTGAACACAGTGAAGATGTGGTTTTAGGATGTCGTAAGTTATATAGTGTTACAAATGTTTAAAGTTGTTTGGTAACACAATAAAGAGTTTATAGCTTGATATTTTCCTTAATTTTACAGAATTTAGCAATGCCTATACTGCATCCAGTAATACAGTGAGTTCCTGTCAAAATGCTAACGATAGAGGTACATCAATGACTTATGGCTATCATTATAATAATCTTAATTTATAGTTAACATTGGAGCTATCATTGGAGGTGTTATTGCAGGAATTTTTGTATGCTGTGTCCTCATAATAACAGTACCAATATGCATATCTTGCTGTTTGGGTGTTGGAATTAGTGCTGGTACTCGCGGCAACTGAGTAAAACAAGAAACACTGTAAATGCATAACAGAGTTGTGCCAGCTGCTTCAAAGTACTTTTATTAACAATTAGTGTGTTTAGTTATTGTGTTGATTTTGTGGTAGTTTTTTGTAGCAGAAAAATTTTTATATGCTTTTTAGCCTAGTGACGTTAAAGAGGCATATAATGTGTCAAGTACCATCTATGTAAGGTATATACACAGTGTACAATAGCTCATGACCACACCCAAAATTCTAGCCCCACCTTGTTGCTTGGGTGTAGCTGATAATGAAGTATTTTAGTATCTTTGCTCTCTTTTTGGCTTTATTCTCTTCTGCTCAGGGGCAATGTAAGTATAAATGTATCTAAGAGAACCGTGCAGGTGTAATACAGCCCTATTGTATTGAAAAGTTGAGCGTTTCTTTGTTAAGTAGTGCCATGGGAGCCTGAGCGTATCCAGTCAACCGTGCAATACTGATCTCCCCCGTAATAGTCTATTTATCTTAATGTCTAACATTGTAGACCGTGGAACTGTTCGACTTTTTAGAAGTGGATCTTTCTCATCATCTTTTACAGCTGGAATAGTTCAGATTTATTACGGTTCAGTTGGCACCAACGGTTGGGGCAACATTTGTGATGATGATTCATTTGCTATCAATGAAGCTAATGTCATTTGTAACCAGTTAGGGTATAATGGAGTATCAACCTATGGTAGAGCTGGGGACACATCATTACTCTTAAAGTACAATACAACAATACCTGTATTTATTATGTGTGCATATGCACTGGATAATTAGTAAGTGTTAGTGTAGGAGTATAGTTAGCAGCTTTGTAGCCACATTCTTTAATAATTAAAAAGGAACAATGATCAAGCAGTAGCTATTGTATATACACCACATGTATATTTGTATAAAGAATTAATGATCATGACATGATAAATTAATAATCATTCATTTTATAGCTATGGAACTGATACTACTTCTACAACTGTTGATGATGTTGACTGTGCCAGTAGTAGCTATTTGACACTGGAGCAATGCACCCTTTCAATTATTATTAAATCCTCTTGTATCAGTAACAGTGAAGATGCATATGTATCATGCTGTAAGTATAATCAATACCATGCAAGCAATAACAATATTCAATCCAAATTCCCTTTACAGATACTACTAGAATCTGGAATAATCCTTATCCTGGACAGATTCGTCTACAAGGAGGTACTTATTCAAGTTATGGTAGACTGGAAGTATATTGTAATGGACAGTGGGGTACAGTATGTGATGATAGCTTTGGCTCAGCTGATGCTAGGGCTGCCTGCCGTCAGTTAGGATACAGTGATTACAGCACATATACTGGAAATCTGTTAGTAAAGCTTATTGAGTTGATCTGTATATTTCTTCTTTACATAGTGCTGGGTCTAGCTCTCAACCTATTTGGTTGGACAATGTCATTTGTAGTAGCAGTTCATACAGTTGTCTTGCTACTTGTGAATCTTGTCCTGCTACACAATATCATAACTGTGGACACAGTCAAGATGTGGCTTTAGGATGTGGTAGGTTATAAGTTACAAAACAAAGTGTTAACTTTGATATTTTTCTTACACAGAATTTGATAGTACTTATACTACATCCAGTAATTCACTGAGTACCTGTCAATATGCAGACCCTTCATCATCAGGTCCTTAAGCATTAATAATTATTATTCTAAATTCTAATTTACACAAAGTGCACTTTAAATCCCATCCCACTTAGTTTGTAGCTGGCCATGATGGCAGCTATTGTGAAAGGGTATTTAACCAAAAGATTTTATTATGTATAATCAAAAATGACTAGGAGCGAATTCTTAGTTTTTAATAAATATTTTTCTGATACATATAGATGTACATGTACTTATGTTGCTTTCAAAGGTTTAGCAGATTCCAATCAGATTGGATTTTTATTATGTTAAAGTTGTTTAAAAATTGGGCCAAAGTCTCTGTAATTGCTATTACATTCATGTATTTGTATTTTGTAGGTTTTGGTGTTCCTCTGTCTGGAGCTCTTATACTGGCAAGAAATGGAGTCTATTCATCTTCATTTACTTCCGGTCGTGTGGTTGTATACGGTATTGGTTCTTCTACCTCATCTTCCCTCTTTTGGGGTAACGTGTGTCGACGTACTTCCTTCAGTTTGAATGCAGCTCATGTGATCTGTCACCAGCTGACCTTTAGTGGGGCCTCCACTTGGTCTTATTCTGGTATAGACTCGTAAGTACTATATCTCAATTTACATGTATTACTGATACTGTAGGTATCTTTATTTTTAAATAATATAATAATAATAATATTATATTATTAGTAATTATTATTATTATTATTATCTCTTCTTTCTATTTCACTTTGTATTGTAATAGTAATCTCTTTGGAGTTGATACTAATCGTACTCTACTTGATGATGTTAGCTGCTCTAATTCAAGATACCTGACGCTCTTTCAGTGCACAGTTAGTACATTTATCAGTTCACTGTGTACGGATGCTGATGATATATCAGTAACTTGCTGTAAGTTATAGCAAATTGTAGGAGATGCATGTAGTACTTGTACATGTACACTATATAATTTTGCAATATAATGTACATTGCAAGTAAAAATTTTAATGAAGCAGGCACTGCTTGAGTACTATAGCCAGCATAATTCTTATTAATGTATATATAACTATTATTAATTATTCATAGATACAACTCGTATATGGAGCAGTCCTTATACTGGTCAGCTCCGTCTGACCGGTGGTAATTACACTAACGAGGGGCTCATTGAAGTTTATTGTAACGGGGCCTGGGGGACTGTCTGTGATAATACCTTCTCGGCTACAGCAGCAAGGATCGTGTGCCGACAGTTAGGATATAACAGTTATTACAGATATAACACACTACCAATGTAAGTATATACATGTGTATTAAGTTTGTAAATTAAAGCAGAAGTGAAAAGTTCATTGCTTTATGTACTAATGCTATTAGTTATTATTATCACTATTATTATTATTTTATTTCCAGTGTTGGTGATACACCTCAGTCAATATGGTATAACAGTCTTAGTTGTTCTTCAACCTATTCTTGTCTTTCCTCGTGCCAGTCCTGCCCCAGTAGTTCCAGTACTACTTGTGTTCATGCTGAAGATGTCACTATAGTCTGCTGTGAGTAAAGTGCTTAATATATTTTTGTTACTATCACTTCTAGTACACTATATAACTGTAGTTTATATACCCATTTATTGCTAATTTTGATTGGGTGCACAATTTAAATTTGAGGAAAACACTGCTACATTTTTTGTAATTTTTTTAGATTCTTCGTCTACAAGCAGTTCAACTACAGTCACTACCAGCACATGCCAAAGTAAACTATACTATCATCATCATCATCATCATCATCATCATTATTATTATTATTATTATTATTATTATTTATTCTTATTGTACAGCAACTTCCAGTAGTGACTCAGATGGACTCAGTGGTGGTGCTATTGCTGGTATTGTCATTGGAGTTATTGTGTTCATTGGACTTGTGATGTTCTTCTCTGGAAGTGCCCAGAAAAAAAAGAAAGAAAGACGTACAATACTTTAATATCACTATAAGCCTTAATAATCATGTATGGTACATTGTAGTGATTCTACATATGTAAAATGACACTTATTGTAGCAGTTATATATTTTATTTATTTATTATTATTTTTATTTTTTAGAGCGGGCAGCATTGGCAGCAGCAGCTGCTCAAGCGACTGTAGAACTAACGAATGCTCAAGTAGTCCCCACCCCCAATCCACTCACACATCAACCAGCTCCAGAGCCTCCACCCACTACCAATCAAGAGCCTCCTCCTTCTTACGCAGGAGCAGCTGCTGTCACTCAAGAAGTAAAGGAGTATAATGATGAGAAGAGTCCTTACCCACCTCCCGGGCCTAACCCAGAACCCTCTGCCCCCTCCTTTGCTCCTCCCCCTCCGTTTGCCCCATACCCCCCAACCAATACGGGTTACCCCCCTGATCCTGCTTATCCTCCCACTGGTGGATATTATCCTCCTAATCCATACCCCACACCATATCCTACTGTGTCTGGGTATCCACCTGCTACTTACCCAGCTGCTCCTCCTCCTGATACAAGACCAGATCCACCTCCTTATAATGAAGCTCCCTATCCTCCAGCCCCATATTAATATTAATAAAGAATTTTTATGACATTCTTTTATTATTTATTTGTTGTGATGTACAAGTGCCGGTTGCATGTATATAATTAATCTATGATAGCCTGTAAAGTTGTTTTTGTTCATATAAGTTTTTAAAGCACAATTTTGTATAATTTTTTGCAGTCTAAATATCCAAGATCCTTCACGTTTTGGTAAATTTCTCTACTACAACAGCAAAAGAACATCATTGGATTAAAGAATGAAAATCTATGGACCCCGCCTCAAATTCCAGCTCCACCCTGTATTTAGGGAAATTAGAGCGCAACTCAGCATGTCGTGTGTTTGGAGTGCTGTTATTTCTTTGTCCTTGTTGGTTCTGTCCTCGGCCCAATCAAGTGAGTAGAGTCTTATTAGCATAAATCAAACAACAGACTATAATAAGCTCGAGTAAGCTTTAGATAGCAAGCGACCACTCAATGTGTAGATCCACCCACGCCACTGTTTACACGTTACAAGGGCAGCTCAACAGCATCTTTGAATGCCTGTGGGCTGTGATGTATTATGTTCATAAGACCAATCCCAGTTTGGTCTTATGTGTTGCATTGAATGTAAGTGACATCACTGGTGAAGTTGTGTATACTGTAAACCTAATCCTTGAGCCTCGGTCATTGTCATGAAAACTGACTAGAGTGTAGCCAGTTTGCTTGAAAATGCTTGCAAAATCTCTTTATTCATTTTGTAGTGTTTTTTTTTATCGTGACAAAATGAATTATATTTTGAGGCATGATAGTTTTTGTACAATGACAATGACAATGCAGTAAAGGATACTCCTCCTCTTACTGTTATTTGATACACACACACATCACACTTGGAAAGTTGGAATGGAATTCACTATGATTATTCATTGTACTATGCATTAGATATACATGTATATGTATATGCACACATGGCACTGTACCTAGTCTCACTAGCCAGATCATTCCCCAGCCTATCGTCATTCACAATGATTGTAAGCTGGGGAATAGTTTGGCTAGTGAGACTACTCTGTATCATTGGCTGGTTGTAATGCTATTAGCTATTGTTGTGTAAATAAGGAAATCATCAAAGGTATAAAGTCTTAAAAGATAGCCATATCTATTTGCATAGGCCTACTATACAAAAGAAGTTTTTGGTTATGCCTATTATTTCTTTTAAAAATAAGAACGACATTATGTACTTTACATTTTAAAAATGTTGCTACGTGTATATAAGCTACTTCAACAATTTTGCCCTAAAGAAATTTTCTGGCAACTATTTATACTTTAAATTAAAAAACTGCTGCTATATATATGTACATGTATTTGTATTTTGTAGGTTTTGGTGTCCCTCTGTCTGGAACTCTTATACTGACAAGAAGTGGAGTCTATTCATCTTCATTTACTTCCGGTCGTGTGGTTGTATATGGTATTGGTTCTTCTACCTCATCTTCCCTCTTTTGGGGTAACGTGTGTCGACGTACTTCTTTCAATTTAAATGCGGCTCATGTGATCTGTCACCAGCTGACCTTTAGTGGCGCCTCCACTTGGTCTTATTCTGGTATAGACTCGTAAGTATTGTATATTTGCAAGATATTTTTGTGAGTATATGCTCAAACTAAATTTTTGCTTGGAATCATTTTTCTACTTGTACTTGTATCAGAAAAAGTATGCTTGTAAAGCAAATAATTCTACCCAGAAATTTCACCCACATATAAAAATTTAGCTGTTATTGATTTGCTTCCCTTTATTAAAATTGCATATTACTACTACTGTCTAATAATATATACAGTAATCCTATTTCTACATGTACATGTACATCATTATTATCTCTGTTTCTATTTCACTTTTGTATTGTAATAGTAATCTCTTTGGAGTTGACACTAATCGTACTCTACTTGATGATGTTAGCTGCTCTAATTCAGGATACCTGATGCTCTTTCAGTGTACAGTTAGCACTTCCATCAGTTTATTTTGTACTGATGCTGATGATATATCAGTAACATGCTGTAAGTTATAGCAAATTGTAGGAGACATACGCATAGTGTTTAGGGTTTCCACTGTACTTATACATGTCTATTAGTTTTGCCATACATCACTCAAGCAGGCAATGCTTGAGTACTATAGCCAGCATAATTCTTATTAATGTGTATATATAACTATTATTAATTATTTTATAGATACAACTCGTATATGGAGCAGTCCTTATACTGGTCAGCTCCGTCTGACCAGTGGTAATTACACTAACGAGGGACTCATTGAAGTTTATTGTAACGGGGCCTGGGGGACTGTCTGTGATAATACCTTCTCGGCTACAGCAGCAAGGATCGTGTGCCGACAGTTAGGATATAACAGTTATTACAGATATAACACACTACCAATGTAAGTATATACATGTGTATTAAGTTTGTAAATTAAAGCAAAAGTGAAAAAGTTCATTGCTTTATGTACTAATGCTATTAGTTATTACAAGAGTAGATAATTAGTTAGGGTTTATCACTATTATTATTATTTTAAAGTGTTGGTGATACTCCTCAGTCCATATGGTACAACAGTCTCAGTTGTTCTTCAAGTGATACTTGTCTCTCCTCTTGTCAGTCTTGCCCCAGCAGTTCCAGTACTACTTGTGTTCATGCTGAAGATGTCACTATAGTCTGCTGTGAGTAAAGTGTTTTATTCTTGTTACTTAGGGATATCACTTTTAGTACACTATAGTATACATGTATATACCCATTTATTGCTTATTTTGATTGGGTGCACAATTTAAATTTGAGGAAAACACTGCTATATTTTTTGTAATTTTTTTTAGATTCTTTGTCTACAAGCAGTTCAACTACAGTCACTACCAGCACATGCCAAAGTAAAACTATCATCATCATCATCATCATCATCATTATTATTATTATTATTTATTCTTACTGTACAGCAACTTCCAGTAGTGACTCAGGAGGTCTCAGTGGTGGTGCTATTGCTGGTATTGTCATTGGAGTTATTGTGTTTATTGGACTTGTGATGTTCTTCTCTGGAAGTGCCCAGAAAAAAAAGAAAGAAAGACGTACAATACTTTATAATTACTATAAGCCTTAATAATTATGTATGGTACATTGTAGTGATTCTACATATGTAAAATGGCACTTATTGTAGATATAATTTAATTATTTATTATTTTTATTTTTATTTTTAGAGCGGGCAGCATTGGCAGCAGCAGCTGCTCAAGCGACTGTAGAACTAACAAATGCTCAAGTAGTCCCCGCCCCCAATCTACCCACACATCAAACAGCTCCAGAGCCTCTGCCCACTACCAATCAAGAGCCTCCTCCTTCATACGCAGGAGCAGCTGCTGTCACTCAAGAAGTAAAGGAGTATAATGATGAGAAGAGTCCTTACCCTCCTCCCGGGCCTATCCCAGAACCCTCTGCCCCCTCCTTTGCTCCTCCTCCTCCGTTTGCCCCATACCCTCCAACCAATACGGGTTACCCCCCTGATCCTGCTTATCCTCCCACTGGCGGTTATTATCCTCCTAATCCATACCCCACTCCATATCCTACTGTGTCTGGGTATCCACCTGCTACTTACCCAGCTGCTCCTCCTCCTGATACAAGACCAGATCCACCTCCTTATACTGAAGCTTCAGCACCTTATTAATGAAAGACTTTTTATGACGCATTAAAAAAAAATATTTATCTATTATATGTATTAATCTACGATAGCTTGTAGAGTTTTTTTTGTTCATTTTAGTTTTTTACGCATAATTTCATCTGATTTTTTTGCAGTCTAAATATCACAGATCTTTTAGCTTTTGGTAAATTTCTTCACTACAACAGCAAAAGAACATCAGTGGATCAAAGAATGAAATTAACATGAAAACAACAAGTTTCTGAGTGCAAGTGCATTAAATTAAGATTAAAAAGCAGCATATTTATGAACATCAATTATAGTCTTTTAATTTGAGTCTTCTTTCATTGACCAGCCTACAAAAAGAGATCACACTATAAACAGTGTATCATTAAGATACAATATTACTTGAGCAGTCCTGTATATATCTGAATTAGTCATTATCACAACATTATCAGTTGCTGTGGCTCCAGTAGAGCTTCCCTTATACTGGTAAGCATCTATAGCCATTGCTTGAGCAAGAGTTTCCACTGGCAATGCTTTAAAGAATATACCTGTATACAGTAGAACAAGGATACAATAGAAATCATGGTTCTGAAACCATTATTACTAAAATCATACTACAACATAAAGAATATACAAATCAAGTTTTAGAAGTACATGTAAGTATATAAAATCATGACCCAATACTAAATGACAGATATAATAGTTACATAAATGTGTTATCATACCAGCAATTTTCTCAGCCAGTCTCCTATCTTCTCCTCTGCCAATTAAGACCGGTCTCAATATTGTTGTATAAGAAAAGTTTAATTGGCGAACTGCCTCTTCAACCTACAACAAATCAAAAATGTGACACCATTAAGAGTGTGCTATAGCCACAAACACTATGCATATACAGTTATATGCTATAACTGTATAATCCTTGAGGTTGACAGTACCTAATGTTGCTGTATCAATAGAGTTGGCAAAATTCTAATTTGGTCACTTTTTGTGCACACATTATACATGTATGTGTAAATGCATTCAAACCTAACTATCTCCTGGTGGTTATGCTTACGTATGAACTAATGTGTGCATTGCTACTAATACTGAAGTGAATGGCTTACTTGTCCTTTAGTTTTAGTGTACAGGAAGAAACTGTTTGGGTTTGATCCATAGGAGGTCAATAAACTGAAGTGAGGTACACCAGCTGCTTTAGCTTGCTCTGCAAATCTTACGACAAGATCACGATCAATTCTCACAAATGCTTCCTAAATTATACAAAAATTAAACAATAGCACAAAAGGAAATTGTGACACCTAATATATACATGTACATGTACATGTAAAATAAAATTTTAAGACAATATGTTAGAACGGATGCTAAATGTTCATATAATTATAAGTACTGGTATCTTCTCTACCAATCGTAGCACATTATTATTATAAACTATAACTTAACATCAAGCAATGCAATGCAGTGTTTAGTGACTCACTGCAGATCCAGCAGCTCTTCTTGTTGTTCCAAGACAGCAAAAGAAAACATCAGCTCCTTCACACTTTGACTTTATCTCTTCCTCAGGAACAGTAAACATGTCTACCCATACAATGTATGATAGTTAGCAATTGTAAGTATGTTTATGAACATGCACTATAGTGTATCAATTACATGTACTATGTAGCTTTACAATTACTATGTATTTCAATAAGTACATGATAGTAATTGTCATTGGTATGGCAATTTAGGTGCATGTCAATGTACAAATAAAAGTCTAAAAGTAATATGGGGTCAGGGGAGAAATTAGGATGAAGAGGGCAATCCAAGGGGGGCCCCACTGAGTATGGATATGATTTCAATTAGTCTTACCCCCAACAACGTGTTCAACAAGTCTTCCTGAGCTCTTCTCCTCCTCCAAATTAACGTCAGGTATATTATCAATAGCACGGCGATTGAATAGTATAACTTTACTCCATTCTTCCTGATAATTAGAAAATAACTAATAATTAATAACAAGTAAATTAAAAATACCTTTTT